CTGGCCAGTACCTGCACGATATTTTTTAAATGAGCCAATAGTAAAATATAGAAAATTCAGATTTATGGCTTTGCTCAAAAAATTAGACTTGGCCGCACAGGGGGCCACATTCACTTCCCTGCTTAAAACATTCCAGGGGGGGACCGGCCCAGTGGCGCACTGGAGAGTGTGCCGCTTGAGAGTGCGGCGGTGCTCCCGCCGAGGGTTCGGATCCCATGTGAAGACCGGTTCCCGCTCACTGGCTGAGCGCAGTGCGGGCGCAACACCGAGGGTTGCGATCCCGTTGCCTGTCCCCGGTATGAGTGCGACACCAAGGGTTGCGATCCCGTTACCGGTCAGTAAAAAAGACAAAAAGGGAAGNCTGGCTGAGCGCAGTGCGGGCGCAACACCGAGGGTTGCGATCCCGTTGCCTGTCCCCGGTACGAGTGCGACACCAAGGGTTGCAATCCCGTTACCGGTCAGTAAAAAAGACAAAAAGGGAAGAAAAAAAAAAAAATTCCAGGGGGTTTTCTGGATAAACCCTTTAGTGTAAATCCCAGTCCTCCCGCCTGGCTCTGCATGATCAGCTGCTACCTCCTCTCCCACCTGCTCTTCCCTCTCCCTGTTCCAACTTCACTCCAGCCCCTCAGGCCTTTTCATAACTGGCTCAGATGTTAACCTCCTCAGAGGGGCCTTTCTTGGCCACGTGTCTAAGCAAGTTGTCCACTTCTTTGTCTTTACAACATCTATTATTTGAAATTATATCATTTATTTGCTACTTGTTTATTACCTTCCCCTCTATCTTTCTGCATCCAGAAGTCAGGGACTATGCATTCCTCATGCTGCTGTATCCCCAGCACAGTGCCTAGGACACTGCATATGTACTCAATGAATGTTGAGTTATGGATGAATTAGTAACCGGCCACAGCTAGCAGGAATTGAATGCAGTTGCCCCTTTAGAAGGGGGCCAATGCTCTTTAGTTTACCACAGTCCCACCACTCCCTCTTATCTCCCTCTCTCTGAGGATGTCTGGAGTTTTCAGTCATCTCCCTTACTCTACTGTTTTTCTTATGGGAGAAAAAATATTTATCTGTGCCCATATCACTATCAAAAGGCAAAAAGTGAAGAAATATCCCGTCTATACCACTCAAATCTGAGGCCTGCTGACCCCTACAGGCTGGTCATTTTAATGCTGATGAAGACCAGATCCAAAGAATGCCAGCCAAACATCTCCTGTGCTTCTTACCTGTCTCCCACCTGCCTCTTGGACGTCCCACTCATAAGTCCCACAGGCACTCCAGTTCGACTTCCCGAAACCCAGTGCCCCATCATCCTCTGCAAAACTGCCCCTCCTGTGTCCCCATCTTAGTTATAACTCCCCTCCCCCAAATCTCATAAGCTCAAAGCCAGGGGGACCCAGTGGTGAACAGTGTCAACTGATTCCCCATCCAGGGACCTGAGGCCTGGTCAAGGACCCAGAGGTGTAAATGGCTACAGGCAGAATGACATGCATCCAGTTAAGGGAAGAATAAGAGGCCAGGGGAACCCAGAGGAAGCTGGTAGGCTCACTGGAGGAGGCATATAAACTGAGACCTCAAGGTTTAACAAGAGCTAGCCAGGCAAGGAGGAGGGAAAGATTCCTCCAGCAGAGGGTGTGTAGAGGCTGAGATGGGAGGGAATATGAAGCCGTGGATGAATGCAAAGAGGGCGCGCTCATGTGTGTCTGCAGTGTGTGTGTGAGCATGTGAGTATGTGTGTGTGCACATGCTTTGGGGGTGGGATTGGGTAATGAATGATAAATCCCAGCTGGTAAGTAGGTACATAGGGGCTTAGAAACACATTAAAAAGCTGGACTTTGGGGCCGGCCCGGTGGCGCACTGGATAGTGCGCCGCTTGGGAAGCACGGCGGCGCTCCCGTCCGAGGGTTCGGATCCCACATACAGACCGGTTCCCGCTCACTGGCTGGGCGAGGCGCGGGAGCAACGCCGAGGGTTGCAATCCCGTTGCCGGTCCCCGGTCCGGTACGGGGGCAACACTGAGGGTTGCGATCCGTTGCTGGACACGGAAAAAAGACAAAAAAAAAAAAAAAGCTGGACTTGACACTGAAGGTAATAGGAAGTTACTAAATGCCCCCCCCCATTTTCTAAAAAAGCACTAAGTGCACACATAACCAAAATTCAAACCTTACAAAAAGGCATACCAAAAAAGTCTCTCCCACCTCAGACCCCTGGTCTTACTTCCAAGAGGCAATCACTGCTAACAGTTTTATGGGACTCTGTCCAGAAATTTTCTCTTTATAAATAAGCCCATAAACATGTCTGTCCTTTTCCTTGGCTACATGTGTGGGATCCTAGTAGCCATGCTGTTCTCTGGCTTTTTTTGTGTGTGTGTGGCAGCTGGCTGATAAGGGGATCTGAACCCTTGACCTTGGTATTATCCCTGGCTTTTTTCACTTAATTTATCTTGGGCATCTTTCCTCATCTCTCTACACATTCTAATAGCTGCATGGTGTTCTGTGTTGTCCTGCATTTCATGGAACCTGCTTCTTGGTTTCACCAGCTGTGCCCTCATGCATACTGGTGCACCATCAGTCTATCTTCATGACCATCCCTGGAGGCGGGCTTGCTGGCTCAAATTCCATGTGCCTTGTAAACTTTGATAGAAATTGACAAATGACCCTCCAAAAGATCGCAACCAATTTACTTTCCCAGCAAGAACAAGGAGGTTTGAGCTGGGGAATAGCATGGTTAGATCTACATCATTCAGTCATTCATATAATAAATATTTATTAGAATCTTACTTGCTTACTGCATGCATGCCAGTCATTATTTTCGACTCTGGGATACATCAGAGAGCACAGCCAAGTCCCCACCCCCTAGAGCTGGCATTCTCTCTCTCTTTTTGGGGGGGTCTGCCCAGGAACTGAGTCTGAACCCATGACCTTGGTGTTACAAGGTAGCACTCAAACCAACTGAGCTAATGAGCTAGCCCAAACTGGAGGGATCTTTTTTTTTTTTTTTTTTTGGTGGCTGGCCGGTACAGGGAACCAAACCCTTGACCTTGGTGTTATAGGGCTTCGCTTTAACCAACTGAGCTAACCCACCAGCCTGGATGTAGCATTCTAATCAAAGAGACAAACCATAAACAATAAACAAATGTATGTGATATGGCAGATGGTGACAAGTACTATGGAGAAAAACTGAGCAGAACCAGGGGATGGAGAGTCCTAGCCAGGGTTGGGGAAGAGGCTGTTTTCAACAAGATAGGTTAGGGAAAGCCTCAGGGAGTGGACCTTGCAGCTGTCTGGAGGGAAAGCATTCCAAACAGAGGAAACAGCTGGTGCAAAGGCCCTGGGGCAGGGGATGTTCAACAATCAGCAAAGCCCGCAAGGCAGACAGCGTGGCTACAGCAGTGTAATGGAGAGGGAGAGCAGTAGGAGAAAAGGCCAAAAAAGGGCAGGCCCAGAAAGTGCAGGGTCTTGTGATTTGCCTTGGGTTTTACTGGCTGCTGTGTTGAGAAGAAACTGTGGGGTTAAGAAAAAAAGCAGGGATAATCCAGGTGAGAGATGGTGGGGATTTGGCCCATGGGAGTGATGAGATTCTGGAGATATCTTGAAGGTAGATCCATTATGTTTTGCTGATGAATAGGACGTAGAGTGTGAGAGAAAGAAAGGGTGACTCTAGGGATTTGGGACTGAGCACTATGGAAAAGGTTTTGGAGCAGGTTTGGGGGAATCAGGAGCTCTGCTCACTTTGGCTACTGAATGCATAATGGAACAGAGGTGCTTGTAGATCCAGCTGCCCTCTTCCTGGATGCCCACCAGACACCACAAACTCAGCTTGTCCAAAATGGAACTCCCTCTTTCCCCAAATCTCCTGCCCAGCACCCCCCCACCCTAGCCAATATCCCGCAGGCCACCCCCGCCATATACCCACTACAACCAGTTGGTACCCATTTTCCTTTAGATCTCTCAGTTCTGCCTCTAACTTCCATCCCTAGGATGTTTGCTATGCTGTCTCCTATCTAGACTACTGCCTCTGCTCAGGGCCTATTGCAGAGAAGGACCTGGGTGAATGAATGAAGGATTAAATTAATGAAAGAGTGAATGAATGATTGACCAGCCCCTCTCCTCCTTCAGCCCGGTCTCCACACCATTCCAGAGGAATCTTTGAAAACACACACATCTATGTTCCTTCCTTGACTATAAGCCCATCACAGCTCCCCGAGGCCTACACAGACATAAACTAGTGGCCTACAGACATGTTTTGTTTGGCCCTCATAGTGTTTTGTTTTTTTAACAAATCTTGAATTAATTAGCATATTTTACTTTCAAGTCTGGATTTCCCACTTCTCTTAAGAAACTGGAAGAGCTAGTACTATGTTTCCTCAGGGCAGCACTTTGCACGTGGCTGATAGAGTAGTCACTCCCCCTTTAGATAGAGTATGCACTCTGGAGTTTGCTGCAGTCCCTACCACTCTGTTGTTTTATACCCATCTCATTTCCCTCACTTAAATTACTTACCTGTCCCCTATGGCATCAGAGTTTGTGGCCCCTGGTCTAGAAGACAAAAGCATAACTTCTGGATAGTGTGTTGCATGGAGTGAGGGTAAAAAAGGAAGGGTGATGGTAGGTGAAGTTGAAAAGTTGGACTGTGGCCAAGTTGTAAAGGGCTTTGAATGTCATTTTAAGAACCAGTTAGCTCAGTTGGTTAGAGCACAGCCTTGTAACACCAGGGTCACGAGTTCAGATCCCCCTACTGGCCAGCCACCAAAAAAAAAAAGTCTTATCCAGAGGGCCACTGGAAGCAATGAAGCAGGAGGGAGTGACATGGTTGGGTTTGTGTTTTCAGCCCAGGCCCTCTGGAAAGGAGGGGACCAGACAGGGCAGAGAACACAGTAAGGAGTTTCAGCTGCTTGGGAGAGGATAAGGAGGAGGCCTAGATGGAGGCTGCTCCCCGAAGTGTCCCTAAGTCTGAGTTTGCTCTCTCTGTTTCAGGACCAGGCAGCAGTCTTGGGCTCCAGCATGGCCATGAGGGCAGATGGGCAGTGCTGAAGACCCAGACTGGCTCCAGCTGCTTCAGAAGGACTCCAGCCCCCCAGGACCCCAGCCCACAGCCCTCTGCTGCCCACAGGATGGGAGCCTGGGGGCTGGGGGCCCAGCCATGAGGGACTGCTGCCCCTCCCAGCAAAAGGCCAGCCCTGCGCCTCCCAGGCACACCCCTGACCAAAGCCTAGGCATGGACTCTAGACACAGCAGCCCCAGTAGGGCTGAGGAAGGGGCCTCCTGCTCTGAGGGCCCCAGCAGGAGGTTGACCTGCCCCTCCCTGACCTGCATCTCTTCCCAAGAGGCAGCCACCAAGGAGGCATTGGAGGCAGATGGAGCCTCGATCTCAGGGACACCAGAAACCACCTTGTCTGGGAAGCCAGAACCTGTGTCCTCAGTAAAAATTGATCATACATCCTCAGACAGCAGAAATCCTATGTTCTTGGATAAGATGGATTCCAAGTCTCCAGATCAGGCAGATTCTACTTCCATAGGAAAGGAAGATACTGGGTCCTCAAGGAAGACAGATCCCATCTTTTCTGGAAAAACAGAACCTGCAATCTTGGGAAAGGACAGTCCTGTGGCTCCTGGAGGGAAAGATCCCACGACTCCAAGAAGGGAGGATGACTTTGGATCCTTGGGAAAAGCAGATCCTATATGCTCCAGCAAGGTGGATATGATGTCTCCAAAGAAGGAGGATCCTGGTTCTTTAAGAAAGGTGGACCCTGTATCATCAGGCAAAGTGGATCCTGTGTTCCCAAGAAAGGAGCCCAGCTTTTCTGGAAAAGAGCATCCTGTGTCCTCAGAAAAGGTGAGTTCTGTATCCACTGGAAAGGCAGATATTGTGTTCTTCAGAAAGAGAGATCCTGAGCCCTCAGGAAAGGCGGATCTTATGTCCTTGGAAAGCACGGATTCTGCATCTGGAGGAAAGACAGATCCAGGGCTCCTGGGAAAGCTGACTCTAGGGTCGTCAGGCAAGATCGAGCCTGTATCCCTTGGAATAGTGGCTCCTGGGCCCTCAGGAAGAGTGGATACTCCAGACTTGGAGATAGCAGATCCTGCTTCTATGGTAAATGCAGAAACTGTGTCCTCTGCAAAAGGGGACTCTCAGTTCCTGGGAAAGACGGACCCTGCCTTCTCAGGAGAGGGGGGTCCTGTGTCTGTGAGAATGACAAAAAATGTGTCTGCTAGCCATGTGGATCCCGTGTTTGCAGGAAAGGTGGATCCCACATCTTTGAAAAATGCAGATCTGACATCTTTAGGCAAGATGGATCAGGTTTCCTTGGGACGGGTGGATCCTGTGTCCACAGGAAAGCCAGAGCCCTTGTCTTCTGGGCAGGCAGAACATGTGTCTGTGGGAAAGAAAGAAACTGTTTCTTCAGGAAAAGAGGACCCAGTGTCCTCCAGAAAGGTAGATCCCATATCTGGAGGAAATATAAAAACATCATGCTCTGGAAAAGTGAATACTGAATCTTCAGAAAAGACAGACCCTGTGTCCTCAGGTCTAGAGAATCCCAAGTCCTTGGGGACAGTAGATCTCCCATCCACAGTAAAAGCTGAGGCAGTGACTGTGGGGGAAAGAGACACACTATCCTCAGAGAAGGCAGGTCCTATGGCCTCTGGCAAGGTGGGTCCGACAGCCTCAGGGAAGGCTGTTCCTCTGGCCTTGGGCAAGCTGGACCCCGTGAGCAGGGGAAAGGCAGAAACTGTCCCCTCTGGAGAAGTGGACTCTGTGTCTTTAGGTAAGGTGGCCTCCACAGCTCCAGGAAAAACAGCCCTGGTGTCCTCTGGGAAGGTTGATCTCGTGTCCTTTGGAAAAGCAGAAGCTCTCCCAGCGGGAAAGGTGAATCCTCTGCCTCTAGAGAAGGGGAATCCTGTGAACTCCACAAAGGTGGATCTCAGGGCCTCAGGGAAAGCAGAGCTGAAGTCTGGGGACAAAGCAGAAACAAAGCTCTCTGGACAAGAGCGTGCTCCATCAACAGGAAAAGGAGAGATTGTGTCTTTGCAAAAGGAGAAGCCACAGGCCTCAGAGAAGGTTGATCCTGGATCCTCCAGAAAAGCAGACCCCATTGCCTCTGGGAAGGGAGAACCTGTATCCGTGGGGAAGGCTGACTCTACATCTTCCAGAAAAGCAGAGCCCCCATTAATGGGGAAGGTGGACCCCCTTACTCTGGAGAAGACCAAGTCCTTGTCTTCCTCCACCTGGCAGTCAAATGGCAAACCCTGCGGCTCAGCCCGGTCTCCCGAGGGTGCTGGGGGCGGCAAGGGCCCCGAGGCGCCAGAGTCCACGCCCAGCGCTGAGGCTTCCATCCTCGGTCAGAAAGACCTGGCAGCCGCTGGGGCCGAGAGAAGCTCCAGCTCGGAGGCTGCCGCGCCCCCGCCGGGGCCGCGAACTCGCGACAACTTCACCAAAGCGCCGTCGTGGGAGGCGAGCGCCCCGCCACCGCCGCGCGAGGACGCGGGCACGCAGGCAGGTGCGCAGACCTGCGTCTCGGTGGCCGTGAGCCCCATGTCTCCGCAGGACGGCGCGGGCGGCCCGGCCTTCAGCTTCCAGTTAGCGCCGCGCGCGCCCAGCCCAGCGCCCAGGCCGCCCTCGCGCCGGGACGCGGGCCTGCAGGTGTCGCTGGGCGCCGCCGAGACGCGCTCTGTGGCTACCGGGCCTATGACGCCGCAGGCCGCCA